TAAGCCCACTTCATATTATTGCTATCACTTTATATTTTGTCTTTCAGCTATATAATTATACTATGTAATTCTTCTAATAGTAAATTGCATACGAATACCTTACTATTTGTAAAAGGAATCAAAGTGATCAAAGTTCTCTCCCTTTATTTTAAGGAGGGTCTTAATAACATGATCATTAATGGTTTCAACTACTAGGTTAAATTTAATAAATGTATGAAATAGTTATGATTTTTTATTCATAAAAATATACCCATTTCAACTAAGTAAAATCATTAATAAATGAAAACATATGCATTTTTTTTGTTTGATTAAGTTTTCATTAGACCAAACATAAATGCATAAGTTAACTTAATGTGACCTTTATGAGGTTTTGGCCTGAACAAGAATCAAGAAGGGGTTGAATTAATTCACTTCTAATTTTCTTAGTTGAAAATTCTATGTTGACACTATTAAGGGTTTTTCTACTAGTCAATCTCTAAAACATAAGCCAAGGTTGTATAAAGATATAGTATTTTTATAATGGTTTGGCCTCCAACCTCGTTCTGCTCTCCAAGAACAATTCATGTACTTAGGTTTCACTAACTATATTTGTCTAATTAAACACCTATGATCACCTAACTCAACTCTCATGTGATTTCACCCTGAAATTCACTTTGAGATTCATGGCTCTAGGAAGCAAACAATTGTTCAAAGGGGCAACTCTCATGAGTCAATAAGTTATATTTGAATCACAAGTTTATCCAATAATAGATATGAAAAAAATAAATATTTTTTATTTTTTTATTTTTTATTTTTTTATTTTTTATTTTTTATTTTTTTATTTTTTTATTTTTTTATTTTTTTATTTTTTTATTTTTTTATTTTTTTATTTTTTATTTTTTTATTTTTATTTTTTTATTTTTATTTTTTTATTTTTATTTTTTTATTTTTTATTTTTTTATTTTTTTTTTAAATGAAGAAATTTGATGAAGTGCTAGATGTTTGACCTCTTTCTGAGGTTACATAAGTGGGATCTCATTCGCACAAGGGGCAAGAATGATATGGAGGATTAAAGACCTCTTTTGAAGAGGGGATGTGATAATATTAGAGATAGACTCCAATGCGCTCATCATATTTGAAGAAGGCGGTTGATTTGCATTAGGTTGAAAGAGATTTTGAGTTCATGAAGTTGGAAGATCTGCTCAACAGTAGTAGGACGTGTAGACCTCTATGTTGTGCGCCATGAAGTGTTCCTACAAGACAAAAGTTTACTACAGTAAGTGGTTTTAAGAAATAAATAAAATGATATAAAGTGGTGAGAAAAGAATGGTTAGGACAGTGAGGAGGATAGAACTATGCTAGAGCATGACAATAAGTCTAAATATGAACTTGCCTTCCTAGTGTTGTACGTGCCTAATCTCTCTAGCTAAGATCTTGTTAGTACCATCAATTGCCGTACTTCTTCTAAGTAGGTAAAGGACCTTTCACCTCACGAGGAATGACTTGGTCTCTTTTTCTAACTCTTTTCTTTTCTCTTATTCTCTTTCTCTTCTTTCTTTTTTTTTTTCTTTTTTTTTTTGAGGGCCTCTTCTTTCACCCTCCACTAATGCCCATTATTTGGTGTACAAGGGTAATTCCCTTTGGAGTATTAGGCTAGTGATTAGGGGAAGGGAAGTAGGTTGCCCACTTTTTTTTTTCTTTTTCTTTTTTTTTCTTTTTTTTTGGAGGGCCCTTTCCCTCACCCTCCACTAATTGTCTATGATGGGCTAGTGATTCTAGGAAAAGAAGTAGGCTGTCTCTTTTCTTTTTTTTTCTTTTTTTTTCTTTTTTTTAAAGAGAGAGAAAGGGAGGGAGAAAGAAATAGAGAATCGAAAGAGAGAGAGAGGAGAGAGGGTCAATCCTATAGATATAGATCCTTACCTTCTCATGGGTTCAAATTGACTAATGGTACTAATAAGATCTTGAGAGAGGTGCTAGGTTGACCATTTTTAATTAGTTTGGAAGGTCTAATGTGCTATAGACCTATAGTTCAAAAGTGGGCAGATGCCAACATGTGCTGATAGTTCTGTGTCCTCACTACTTGAGGGTGATAGATAGTAGATGTGAGGTGATTATGAGGAGAGTAATGATTGGAAGTAGTGTACTTGAGTGGATTACGATGTGCCTTGTTGTCCGTCTTGTGCTAATAGACAAAGTGTATTCCACATCGATGGTATGGGATGAGCACCATGATGATGTCATGGTTGTGACTTGTGATAGACCTGAAAACAGAAACAAAAGAAACACATACCTATATCTCCATTGTGGTTTTCAGCAGCCAATAGTAACCATAAGTATGAAATGATTTCACCATAAGTATTTCTTTGAAGAATAATATAAATTTAGAGTAAGTCTAATATTCCACTGAAGAGGATGATGTTTGATTCCTTGAATTCATTTTCTTTTTGTCAGATTTCTGGTAGTTGATAGTAGGTTCTTTAAGCTTTGAATAAATCAAGGAGGATCTTTCAATAGTTTACCAATGCTTTTCAAATACCTTTGAGAAGATTTACTTGCCAACATGGTTTTCATTATTTTTATTTGAATTTTCAACATAAAAAACTTAATGCAAAGTTGGAGGCCATTGAGAAGATAAAGATGATTGATTTGAATTAATCCAGTCATTGAAAGATAGTATAATTTATAGGCAACAGTATGTTATTGATTACTTTTATTTTTTCTCCTATTACTAGATTTAAAACTCTTAGAATTATTTTGGAAATAAAAACTCAAATAAATGATTAGTATTTCAATATGATGTTACATCTACACTTATAAATGATTATTTGAATAAAGATGTGTTTATTTAGCAACCTCAAAGAGTTTCAATTGATGACAAAATGAAAAGTTTATAGATTGAAGGAGACATTATGCAAGCTTAAACATGTATCTAGGACATGATATGCATGACTTGACTCAATCTTTATGAAATCACTTTAATATAAAGTACAGAAGAATCAACAATTCATGTGAAGATGTAAGATAATATTTTTATCATATAAGCATATGTGAATGACATTATTTATACTACATCATATTCTAACTTAATATGAGTTCAAGACTTCCCTGAAGACAGAATTTGATATAAATGATTTGAATTTACTTCATTATTTTCTCAAACTTCCAACTATTCAAAATCATCATGACAAATGGTTTCTAGATTACATAGTCTCCTACAATACATCATCTTATTAGAGGAGAAAAGAGAATCCTTTGTTAAATTCATAGCACTAGTAACTATAGGATTCTATACAAATATATAATTAAATTTAAATTACTTTATTACATCTACATCAATTAGACAGATTCTTTATATGATAAGAAGAGCACCAATGGATTTATTCTCAACTTTAGATCAAGTGAGGTATTTGAGAATTCAAAGAAACAAGAAATGACTACACTATCATCAACTGAAGCTAAATATGTTACATCCTTAGTTTCATAATAAATTATATAGATAAGGAGAATCTTAGAAGATCTTAACTTGACACAATCAAGTCATAGAAGAATCTAATATTTCATAGAGATCTAATATAATATAATATAAAATTTCAATGATAAAGAATCAAGTCATAGAAGAATCTAATATTATAGAGATCTATTGTGACATTAAGTCGACCATATCAATGATAAAGAATCTAATATTTCATAGGAGAATAAAATATATTGAGTTTAGACATCATTTTATTAAAGATCAAGTTATTATAAATTTAATTGGGATAAAATTTTGCTCAACAAATGATCAAGTTGTGAATGGATTTACAAAGGACCTAACTTATCTCAATTTTTTTATGTTTTATAACTTATTTGGTATCACTAGCTTTACACTAAGGGGGAGTGTTGAAGGTTGCTGGCGTGCTGGTGAAAACAACAATGACCAAAAAGTTATTTTTCTCTCGCATTTCCTCTCTCTCTCTCTCTCCCTTGTCCCTTATAAACTCTTTCTATCATTATTTTTTCACAGATCGTGGAGCATCTTCTCTCTAGTTATTTAGGGTTGAAAAGCCAATGTCGATGTCTCCCTCTTCTTCTTCTTCTCCAACTCTTTCACCAATATTTTTGCACCAGGTTATTATTCCTACAATTTGAGCCTAATAATATAAGTGGGCGACAGACTACGTCAACAAGTACTCAGCCCTCCTCCCTCTGTATTTCTTTCTCTTTCCTCTGTTCAACTTATCCCAAGCTATACGATTTCCTTCACCCTCAGCTCCCTCCCTCTCTATCCGTCCCTCTCTTCCCCCACGTCTGTCTGTCTGTCTGTCTCTCTCTCTCTCTCTCTCTCTCTCTCTCTCTCTCTCTCTCTCTCTCTCTCTCTCTCTCTCTCTCTCTCTCTCTCTCTCTCTCTCTCTCTCTCCCTTCACCACCCTCCATCTCTCTCTACCCATCTCCCTTTCTCTCCCTCTACCCATCCCTTTCTCTCCCACACTACCTATCTGCCACCCTCTTCTCCACCCCCATCTCCCTTTCTCTCCCTCTACCCATCCCTTTCTCTCCCACACTACCTATCTGCCACCCTCTTCTCCACCCTCATCTCCCTTTCTCTCCCTCTACCCATCCCTTTCTCTCCCACACTACCTATCTGCCACCCTCTTCTCCACCCCCATCTCCCTCACTCTGCACCAGATCTCTCGTCCCCCTTCCAAGTCATCAACTATTTCAACAATTAGAGGGCCGTTTCAAAACATTCTCGAAATATAAACCTTTATATAAATTATCAAAAATCAGAGGATCTTTTCGATAAAATCTCAAATAAAAAAGAGCCCCGTTTCCATAAATTCTCGGAAATTGGAAGGTCATTTTCTTCCGATCCGATAAGGGATCGGAGAAAATGAAGCGGGCCCGGTTTTTAATGCACATTAAGGCCCGTGTTGCAGGCCCACAGAATAAATATGACTGGCCCGATCGTCGCCTTGTCCGCCAGTTAGTTCGTTCCTCGAGAGTCTCCCTGGCGGAGCGGAGGTCGAGGACGGAGGTTGAGGATGAGCCCCTTCGTCAACCGCCTGAACACGCTCGTCACCTTCGCGGTTCTCCTCCTGGCGATCCTCTGCGCCGGCGCGTCCTTCCTCGACTGCTTCCACTCTCCCGCTGTTCAGGCCAATGTCGAGGTGACTGGCCGCCGTCCCGCTTGACTCCTCTACCGCCGCCCAATTTTTGTCGGAGCGTACCGTTCGTTGTGAATTGCTTGCCCATGATCCAGCCCGAAAGCGTTCTGCAATTTATTTTTCACGCAGAATTTGCGCAACCACCGCTTGTGTTTTTCTTTTATTTGAGTTTGAAGATCTGGATGGACGTTTGACTGGCATGGACAGCTGAAATTTTGAGCGGTCAAACTTTGTTCCTGAGTATGTATGATCGCATCTCAACGGTGTTCTCATCCTTTTAGTGTTGTTTTATTTTTCCCATTTTCTATTTACTGAGAATAATTTGGATTTTTCAAGCACGTATTCTTGGTTTGTTTCTTGAAATGGTGAACGTGCTTGTGACTTTCTCCTTCATTCGCTTTTACCTTTTCTGAGCGATATGCAGTTATGCTCTGTTTTATTGCTACTTCAACACATTTCAGAATCAAGATAGATTTTGTAAAAGATGCAAACATCCTGACAATGAGAAAAACAAGGATAGAACTTGCGCCAGACTTCTGTCGTTTCTACGACATTTAGACTTTAAAAAAAATGTTTTTATGCTTAGAAAATGGGTTTTGCAAAGTATTCAATTGAGAAGTGTTGGCTTGCTCACCAATCTAGTTAAGAAACGAATGGTACACATTCCAACGAGCCTTGGTTTTATAAACAGTGCAGAGGATATTATGTCACATCTTCCTTGTATACTTGTTATGGTACACGGCTCATTTCTAGAAGAAAATGCTGCGTGATCAGGAATCCCCAAAGCAAGAAGTGCACTAAAGTCAAAAGCAAAATTTTGTGGAACTGAGAACTTTATGAATTATTTTAAGACAAAAAAATTCCTCGTTAATGGTGCCTCAAAAAGAGAAATAGTTGTTAGACAACTCCTAGAAGCTTTTTTAGGAACCTCTTCACTGCTCTTTAGGTTTTCGATCCAACTATAGGAGGTCTGATTGAAGTGTTTGTCTTTTTTACCTTTGTGGCAATTGTTTTCCTACAATTGATAAGAATTTCCGTGTGACAGAAAACTCTCTTTGATAACAATTGTTTCCTTTCTTTCTGGGTACTTTTTTCGATTTCGTGAGTGATGTGCAAGTCAGACATAGGATGCAGTTTAATAGTTGAATGACCTACCTCGTCATTAAAAATGTAGGAATCATGAACCACCTGTGTATTTGATTTGTCGATTCCTTTTTCTCTTCAATGTGACGTGCTGTTGTGAAGAATCATATTTTGCGGTGCTACATATGGTTGGCTAGTTGTAACTCTGTTAACGTCAACATGCCACGAAACTCATGTAGGAAGGACAAGAAGGACATGAGTTACTTTCTCCTGTGGTGCTCTTGCTTGTGGCATATCTAGCATGACACTCCAACATGACAATCATTTATCACTCCATTCCTGCTGCGATGGAGGTGAAAGCCCCTATTCAATATTCTGGACCATCTGGGATGACCAAAACAATCGTTTATTTGGGCCTTAGTGTTTGTTTGTTAGATAATTTGGCTTTTATTTTCGTTCTTTTGAGGTGAATGGCTGGTCAATAAATCTATGTAAAGAGAAAGTTGAGGGTATTCACCATCTTCGTAAATCCACTGTATTGAGGTAGATTATTTCCTTACGTAGGGTATTATTTCGGACGTGATTGTGCACATACTTGTATATCCCTTTATTGGCTTGTGATATTTGATTAATACATGGCATTATCTACTTTAACAGAAAGGAAGTCCAATGGACCCTTTCCTACTCTCTTTAATTGGTTCCTGTTTTGGGTTTCTTGGCTTGGGCTTATTCTTTCCCTTTCATTTGACTCTGACAGTTTTTGGCTTGGTCCATTTAGATTATGTTTAACAAATATGAATGGACCATTTTGCTTTTACTGCATAATATGCAATTGGAAACTGACTTTCACATAAAAATTCGTGGCTAGTGATCTTCCATTAATCTTCATCGTGCTAATACTCTCTTGGGTTTCTCAGGTGCTAAAAGTCAATCGATTTCGGAGGCAGTTGACCGGAAATGATGAGGTTAAATTTCATTTTCGTGTTTTTCACTCAATTTGGACTCTGTTTATCTAAAACGCCACTAGAGCCTTGCGTGCCTGCAGTGTTTATCAGTTTTCTCGTTTAGAATCATTACCATTTTGCGAACTGTTGAAGGGCGAAAACGTTTTTTTTTAAGGTATAACGTGATATGACGGAGTCTTCCATTTTCAGTGTTGAATGATCGAACGGTAAACTGTTAACAATTGGGTTATATTTATCCAGAATAGAAATACTTTCTAAAGCGGTAGAATTATGAAGAGTCAAAGTTGGAAATGGTTGAATAGAAAATAATATAGACCAATGCCTTAGACATGAACGTGCAACTCATTGTCGTGCCCTCTCTCACATTTGGATCCTTTTTTGTCCCAGTTCAATTCTTCAGTTTAAAATGTATGACAGGGAACCCATGCTGGTCCTGCCCTTTTCATGGGTGAAATTCCTCTCACTCTGATGAAGGAAATGGGTAAGGAACTCGAACATTCATACATTGGCTGAGTTGAACTGGGAATGTCAGCACCATCTTCCCATCCATCAAGAAACTTTAGAAAAGTTTCTCAATCAAAAATCAATCGATCTCACTTGATTCAACACCAATGATATCTCATTTGTTACCTGTTTTATTGTGTTAAAATTCAGCAGTTATCTGAAGACACTTGGAAGTGTACTCTCTTTGTGTTAATAGCAAATTCCCATCCCTTGAAATGATTTCGGACTGTCTTACTCAAACCTTAATCAGAATCACATGATTCACTCAAATTTATTTCTGATGTTTAACCACATTTATTCAACTATGGATGCCGATTAGCTATCTCGAAACGACAGGAAGAGTTTCTTGTGTATGTTTTCAGGCGATAATAAATAAGAGGAAAACTGTTTTAATTGTGTTGTTATTATTGCTGGATCTTCCCCACATTAATTTATTGTCATATATTCTTTTTTCTTCCATTTTTGCACCTGTTATGGCCAATCCTGATACAGTATCCGTATTTAATATCTTCCTTGGCTTTTACTTTGTTACGCTCTGTGATATGTTATACTGTGGTTGGGTTACATTAATCTTGTTCTTTCATGTTTTACATCAGAAAAATGTATCACCTAAAAATACCGTTGGTCTCTTAGATGCACTTTTGGCTAATTTTGATGGTAACCACTTATAATCGTTGAATTATTTTACAGGTTCTATTGACCTTAAACATGTCTATCGACTTACAGTCAGCATTTTCATGGAATACTAAGCAGGTGTGTTGGAATCACGCGATCAGCTTTCAAAGTCATTGCGTTCGATTTTTGATATCATATGGTGCAGTATCTTTATGATTTCGTTCACAGATCTCTTACTGGTATCTTGTTGGTTCCCTCGAAGTCTAGTGTATACATTGCTTTATTTTTTGCGTTACATGAAACCAGTAACGCATTGACTGGAAAGCTGGGTATACGATTGCAAAAGTTTGTAGCAAGATTGAAACTTCAAGATTCAGTTCAATGCCTCGTATTTTGAAACATTTAGAATCGTGAAAAATAAGGCTTAATAAAAACAGAGGTAATAATCTTGGTAATATTTTAAACGGCGTTTGCCAACTAAATTTGACTCAACCCGCTTCCAAAATTCTGATAACTTTTTTATGCCCTGATATGTGTTAGAATGTGCCCAATGACATTGTTTATGCTTCCCAAGTGAGCTAGTATTATAAAGGAGGTTTGATTGTTGATGCACTAGTTTGTTTAAGTGATTGCACACTGCAATGCGGTGGGTGCGGTCTGACTTGATTTTAAACTTTCTGTAAGTCTCAATATGACGTAAATTGTGCAAAACCTGGTTTTAAAGAGGTGTTTGTGAGATGCACTAGGTACCGCGCGGCTCAAATATCTAAAAGTGCTGACACATAGATGTGTTAGCATACCTTTCTTTGATCATTCACGCAGTAATGAACGAACTCTATCAAGCACCCAAACCTTAGCTGTGATGGATAAGCGACAAATGTACTCCTTTGATCGTGGTCCATTTGGGTATATCTTAAAATATCTAAATTACATGTATGGTTCGAAATGTAAAAGCTATGTTTAAATTCTCATGTCAGACTGGATGAGGTTGAAATTTTTTTAGAAAAAATTTTCTTTTACTGATAGTTGTTCTATCAGTACAGAGATACTTTCTTAGTATTGTCTTCTCTAATTTTCTTTATCAAATAAATTGGCTCTGTGTCAAAAACCCCCTCTAAATTTTATCAAATGTATGACTATAAAATCCTCATTTTCGTTTTATTCCTTACCTTCTGCTTGCAGGTTTTTGTGTTTATTGCTGCGGAATATGAAACAGAAAAAAATGCCTTCAATCAGGTGGTCCCTTGTCAGTTTACGCATGATTACTATTTCCTGATACATTCTTTACGTAATTATTATTTCTGTCATCATGTTTACGCAAGCTTGATTGATATTCAAGGGCATGAATTATGCCCTTTGGTAAATATTGTATCATTATATTATAATTTACCATCCGCTTTTTTGACTCCACCTAGTGATTGTTATTATTAGCAAAAACCTTATCCGTCATTTTCCCCGAGGATAACACCGTCAATTCGTCGAGCTGTACCTCTATATCCTCAGATTTAGTAAGTAAATGCATAGCAATCCATCATTGTCACTGTTTAAATCCATAATGCAAGGAAAAAAAACCGACTTTGGTTCCTTGGCTATACACAGAGAAAGAGATGATAAAGCAGATCATCATATAGTCTAGTGTGCCCTTGTTTTCACCTTACCATTGGCCAAGGGGCTTCTTATCTCCACTTCCTCTAAACTGTACTCATTCAAAAATACTCCGTGCATTTGCACTGGTGCTTGTAGCTTGCTACAATTTAGAAAAAAATCCAGTGCTTACATGTCATTCTTCATATACCTTTACACTTGCTTATTAAATCCATCCTAGGTTTAATTCAATTGCATATACCTTGCGCATGGATCAAACCTTGGTGTGAAACGCACCATAAGAGATTGTCGTAGGCATCTGACATGACAAGATATAATTGTGACAGAATATGCTTTCAATGACTAATCTGTTAAAGTTTAAGGTAGAACAAACTAGGTTTTCTATCCAAGGACCAAAAATGTAATTTTTCTGATACCTTGTAATTCCCATATGGCATGAAGCCTTTCTGTTTGATATTTTTATTAATTTCAAGTGTGACCATCTTATGCGCAATCTTGTAATTCTAGAACCGTTTATCATATTAATGAGGAAATGCAAGGTACTTGACTTCGCTGTTGCCAATGGTTGGGAGAGTTAGAGAGAGAGAGAGAGAGAGAGAGAGAGAGAATGTAACCTTGAGGGCAGTTCACTCTTTGTTTAGAACATTATCTCGTTAAATATACTTAATTAAACTCGGGGACAAAAAGAATAAGATTGTAGTAGTTTTGGGGGACGGACAAGTTCAGCCATAGAACAAAAGGCCTCATCAACAATTCTATTAGTTTCTGGGGAGTTAAAACCAGATAACCCTTTTATTTTAATGTTCTTCGCTCATCAGAGACCGTATACCTCTCTCTGATGTTAGAATTTCTGACCGCTTATGTGATGAAAAAAAATATAATTTCTCCTTCTTCTATTTAATCTTCAGATCTCCCTGTGGGATCTTGTGATCTCTGACAAGCACCACGCGAAATTCGAAACACAGGTCACCAGCAAGTACCTCCTCATCGATCAGGCGAGCCCATTTAATCCCTTAATCTTAGATATTTATCTCATTTTATTTATCTTTTTTAATTTTTGATCTTGGATGATATTTTGATCCCGTGCCCACATGTCAGGGGCTGACCTTTTTTCCCTTTGTGTATAATCCAGGGGAGCAATCTTCGCGGAAAGAGGGTTGACCTGGTGCTCCACTGGCACGCCATGCCGATCACAGGAAGGATGATTCTGGGGAAGATCCCTGTTTCGAGTTTCCAGCTCCCCAAGGCCTACACATAGTTCTTCTAGGCATGTCAACTCCCTCCTTTGATGTTCTTATTAGTAGCCTGGTTAGTGGGGTTTATTCAGGGTAGATCACTGACCAGGGCATGGTGGAAACAGGTTCTGCTTGATGAAAGAGCTAGAGAGAGAGAGAGAATGCTACTAGTAGTTCGCGCTCTCAGCTGATATATGATAGATAGATACATTGGGAGAGGGAGAGAGATAAGTGTCTTATCTGGTGCAAGATAGTGCTGGAGATATTCCTTTCTTTACTCGAAATAATATGCATGCATACAGAGAGAGAAAGAGAGAGAGAGAGAGAGAGAGAGAGAGAGAGAGAGAGTTTACTAGTATTTGAGCTGGAGACAGCTTAATGGAGGGAGAGAGCAAGATAGAGAGAGAGAGGATCACAGGAAGCCCTTCTCTTGGAAGCTCCTGATGCAGTCCCCAAACATCTGCGGGATGGTCCGGAACTGAGCGAGCCCCAGCGCCCTGATCTTCGCTGTGTCCATGCTGTGCGAGATGTCGTCGCCCGTCCGATCGTCGCTCCTGTTCCATCCCCACCCAAAAGACGACCCAAAAAAGTCAGCGCCAACATGGAAGGAATTCCAATCCCCATCCCCATCTCCTTTTTTCCCAAACCAGCCAGATAGTCAGCGCCGACAAGGACATCCAATCCCCATACCCATCTCTCCCAAATCAGGAAAGAAAACCAGTCAGAAAGTCAGCGCCGTCCCATCCCCATCTCTTTTCTCTCAAATCAGGAAAAGAAAACCAGTCAGACAGAATACAAGTTAGGTATGAGAGTGAGAGGACGGATACTGAGCTTGGTGGCGATGGGGTAGGAGGGGTACTCCTTCCTCAGCATCTCGACGACCTCCGACCAGCCGGCCACCTCGCCGGAGCACACCAGCCTCCCGGCGGCGCCACCGCCCTCCATCGCCAGCAGATGACCCGCCACGACGTCGTCGACGTGGACGAACCCGATCGTCGCGTTCGGGTACGCGCTCACCTGCCCTGCTCGGCGCCGCCGGAAACCGATCTTTTTTAGGAAAGTTGACCACGATTTTTCAGATCTCATCAGGGTTCAGACATGGAAGAGTGCCCCACCTTTGACTATGGAGAGGATCACGAGGAGGGTGCTCGTGGGCTGCGGCGCCAAGAGGGGCCCCACGACGAAGGAAGGGTTCACCACGATGAGGTCAACCCCTCGCTCCGCCGCCACGCGCCACGCCTCCCTCTCCGCTAGCGTCTTCGCAAACGCGTACCAGAGCTGCAGATCAGCCAACCGGTTAACCCCAGTAATCAATGTCCTATTGGGGGGGGGCGGGGCGGAGAAGATAGGTAGAGAGAGAGAGAGAGAGAGAAAGAGAAGGCGTGTGTGTACGTTGTGGCGCTAGCAATAGTCAACTTCTTATGGGGGTCAGGTGAAGATGGGTAGAGAGAGAGAGAGGGAGGGAGAGAGAGAGGGAGGGAGAGAGAGAGGTGTGTGTACGTTGTGGCGCTTGCAGTAGTCGAGATCGCTCCAGTGGGAGTCGTTGAGGGGGGAGACGGCGGCAGCGTCGTCGCGGTATCGGATAGCGGAGCAGGATGAGGTGAGCACCACCCGCTTGACGGAGTTCGCCTTAGCGCAGGCGGAGAGGACGTTGGCGGCGCCCTTCACGCACGGCTCCACCAGCGCCCCCTGCACCAGCGGCGGAGATCTGGTGGCGCCGCCGTAGGAGCAGCTGCGTTCCATGAAGAGGAAAAGAGGAAGGGAAGGAGCTCACCTGGATGTTGCCGTCGCCCGAGACGAGGACCGGGCCGGCGGTGTGGAAGACGCCGTCGGCGCCGGCCACGGCGGCGTCGAAGCTGCCGTCGACGGTGAGGTCGGCCCTCACGAGCTTCAGCCTCTCGGCGGCGCCGGCAAGGGCCCAGAGGAACCCGACTTTGGCTGCGTCGCCTGAGAAGACGATTGGATCAGTGGTGGAAGAAGAAGAGAGGAGGGGGAAGGGGGAAGTACTTTCACCTGGGTCTCTCACTGTAGCGCGCACGGTGTGACCCTCCCCCAGCAGCGCCTTCACCAAGTAGGCGGCGATGAAGCCCGTGCCGCCCGTCACGCAGTACTCCGGCATCTCCTCCTCTGCAACCAGAGAGAGAGAGAGAGACAGAGATAGTGGGTCAATGAGTAAGTGAGTGAGTGATCTTCCACACGCAGAAGGTGAATTCTTATCGTCGTGATCACCTCTCTCTCTCTCTCTCTCTCTCTCTCTCTCTCTCTCTCTCTCTCTCTCTCTCTCTCTCTCTCTCTCTCCCTGCCTCTGCAACTTAAGAGAGGGTGACACAGAAGGTGAATCCTTATCGTCGTGATCACCTCCCTCTCTCTCCCTCTGTGCAACCTAAGAGAGAGAGAGAGAGAGAGAGAGCGTGTATGCGTGTGATCTTCCACACGCAGAAGGTGAATGATTATCGTGATCACCTCGCCAGTGAAGAATGCGTAGGAAAGTCATACTATTTGCGGCGGATTCCTCACACCCGTGGGAAGATTATCGCCTACCACCTAACCACAGGACCAAGAGGAAGACAACCATCGACGAAGATGGGTTGCACTCTTAGAGTTTGCCTCTCTCTCTCTCTCTCTCTCTCTCTCTCTCTCTCTCTCTCTCTCTCCCTGTGTTTAATTGCTTACGACCCGGTTGACATCATCCATGAACATTGAGCTCGCCAGCGTTGACATCACCACGAAGGAAGAGAGAGAGAGGGGGGACTTGAAGCGCGGACAAGCATCTAATGGGGTCAACTCCCCTCCTCCGCAATGCTCTCGGGTCGACCCCCGCCCGGTGAGCCGCCACCACTCCAACAGCCTCCCAATAATTCGACACCTTCATCTGCAATGCGATATTAGGGTTTTCGATGAGCCCGGATCAAAAGAAATACAAAAATTAGGGTTTTCGAGGAGCTCGAATAGAAAGAAAACAAGAACTAGGGTTTCCGGGGAGAACGAAGGGCGTACCGCGTCGATCCCGAGCTTCTCGGGGGTGTCATCCATCACCGTCGTGTTCTCCTCCACCGCGATCACCAAGGCCTACGTACACCATGACCCAAAGAACCCTAGCCTTCGTCATCATCATATCAAAAGCCTAACCCTAAATCCCTAAAACCCTAAATAAAGAAAATGGCTGTTTTAAAGATCGAAGAGAATCAAGTATACATTGTTGGCCGATCTACACCGCGACCCAAAAAACCCTAGCTTTCGTCGTCATCATCATGAGTAAAACCTAGCCCTAAATCCCTAAACCCTAAACGAAGAAACTGGATGTTTTAAAGATCGAAAAGAATCACATATATACCCTGTTTGTTGCCCGATCTACACCTCCTACAAAACCCTAGCCTTCGTCATCACATCATTAAAACCCTAACCCTAAACAAAGAAACCGGATGTTTTAAAGATTGAAAAGAATCATATGTTACCTTGTTGCTCGATCTCCTGGCGAGGGCGACCGCAGCCTCACCCCCGCAGGCGTCGATGGGGAGGACGACGCTATCGACATCGCTGCCCAGTATGCAGCGGGCATCCTCTGCAGTGCCGCGGCTTCTATCGACGACGTACTGGGGGGCCCTGCTGAGGCCGGCAAGCACGCAGGGGAGGAATGTGTACCCAATCTGGCATGAAGAAGCTACCTAATTATGAAAATAAAAATAAACCGAAATATGTCGAAAACTACGATAGATATAAACCAGAGTAATTCAAATGTAAGAGAACAATCATAACAAAGCATCATAGAAAATAATCCCTACTATAACTACATTATACATTCATATATAAAAAGGGCAATCAGAAAAATAAACAAGAAAACATGTAGTATAGATTTCCTCCTCTCTCTCCATTTTCTTTGAATCATGCCGTCTGGAAAATTGAGGGTTTTTTTTTTTTGATGGATAAAGCTGTATGATCGGAGGAAATTGAAGGAATCCACAGTTGATAGACCTTCCTCTTCGGGGAATCAGCAAAACATCATTTCTACATAAGATGCAGTCATCCCCAGCTAAAAGTTTTTTCCAGGATTCAGATGGGTATTTTCTGTGTTCACTAATTCCGTAATGGAAGAAAACGGCGATTGTAAGTCGCTGACCTCCTCGGCAGCAGATTTAGGGCTCAGCGATCTGGTCAACGGAGGGGGCAATAATGCAGGAGCATGAGCACACGGAATCTGAAACTCCTTCACGACGAGATGGCTTATAATCGCTTCCACCCCAGCCACCACATCTACGCCCTGTGAAGAACAAGACGAATTAGCAATAGAATTCTCATACTCTGTCATCTCGTTAATCAGAGTATCTTCAAACATGAGAAACTCACCCACCAGATACTATGTTTTCCATCAAAAAGAAAAAAAAAAAAAAATCCTCATCGCAGAAATCTTCCAGTAGAAAACGTATCACCACTCATAATGATGAAGATTATGGTGACGACTACAATGACGATGATGATGAATTCAGGCTGAGGATTGAAAAGGGTAGATCAAATAATAATTAAGGGGATTTCTTTGAAATCAGAGTAAAAAACCAGGACTGCATCCGATTGAAGAGCTCCTGGAAGGGATATATAGACAATGGAGAAGGTAAGCTTTCATCTAGGGTCAGTGGCAATGTGCTCGGTTTATAAATAGAGTTTACATGGACCTTCTACGGAGAGAAAAACTATTCAAGTTGATTTCTAGGAGATGATAGCCTGTCTTCCAGAAAAGAAAAAAAAAAAAATACTAGACTCGTGATAGAAGAAAAGCTCAAGAGGTATTTCAACTACCTTCCCTTGTCGGTAGTCTTCAGCCCCTTCGATATCATCATCTGGAAAGCGTCCGACGACAGCAACTGCATTGACTTTCGACCTCTTGACCAGAGAATCTACTGCTCTTAATAATGAGCCCGGGTTTCCTATGCGGCCCGTTGACTTCCCGTATGCAGGATCTATCCATATCTCAACCTGCACGGATTGACGAGATTTCAAATCAAAATGACATCTGTCAATCATTATTACGATTATTTTCTACAAACTCACTCATTTTGAAGACCTCAACGGTTAAATTTCCCATTCTGATGGTCTTGAGGGAGAAAATTGCAAAATCTGGCTAGTGCTCACAACGGATGATATGGGATTTCAAACTATTTAAATTGGCAAGGATTTGTACCTCTAACGGAGCGTCCGTAAGAATGTACTCCACTACAGGGAGGCCCAAAGAAGCTCTGGCAGCGTCTGCAACTTGTAGATGCCGAATTCGAAGTTCTTCTTCCATCCCAGAATCCAGAACCAAGCCAACCTAGCTTCATTTCCAGAGAAGTTTCAACTTAGATGACCAAAGTAATCCCAGTCCTTTTTAGAAAAAAAATTAAACAGTGGGTCACAATGGTCAGCTTTCTATGGAAAACCTCTCCTACGACAGAACATTTGACTCGGTTAGATCAAATTTATTTTCCCTTTAATTGTCAAAAATAGAAGCACTCGAGTGATATGAAGCAATGCTGATAGGATAGCTCAGCCCGTAGAGGAGAGGGCCAAAATCCCTCGTGTCAAGGGATTCAATCCGGTTCCTGACACAACATTAATTACATTCACCCATGTTTATAGTTAAAGAGTATTCTTTCACTATTTTAAGATGAACTGATGTGTGGAAGAAAACCTATTTTACTAGATTTTCTCATTTGTGTTTAGAATATAACTGATCTCGTTCGTTCAGAAACGATGTTTTAGTTTCTTACCTTTATGTTGTACATTTTTTATGCATACTAGCTTAAGGGAACGTCATGATAGTTATTCTTCCTTCAGACTAAGGATGTTGAATACTTCAAAAAAATGTAACAAGGAAGACATGGCATGACATGGCATGCTGAATACAAAACAATCAAGACTAAGACTCGTCAATAAAATAAAAAATAAAACTCGACTCTTTCCTCTTTTTCTATTGTTTTTTCTTTTTCCTGGTACTTAATGCAGAAAAATCCTGAAGAAAAGCATAAATCCCTAAGGAAATTGAGACATCTTGCACTACTTACAGGTATAAGTACTCGGCCTTGATCCGTAAGATTGTCACATGCGAAAGAAACAAGTTTGAGGATGATAAAATTATTAAAATAAGATTATTATATATCAGCTTTGGTAAAACTCTTTGGAAAGAGGAAGATACTACCAACAATAAATCACAGAGTAAGCCAAGTTCTCAGGGGAGAGACCTTGAAAAATAAATCTTGCCTTATTCTGATGGACGGGTTGGAGTCCCCAAGATCCTTCTGCAAATCTGTCGAGTGCATATCCCTCCACATACAATGCATTTGGAATCGGCCAGTAAAGCATAGCCGCATTCATCACCTATTTTGTTCTCTTCAAACCAAGTCAGGAAAGCTAGGAATTTATATGCGTATGAAGACTCAGTAATAGATAAATAAGTATCACATCACCGTCCACAGATTGAAGAGTGGCACTGTTTTAGAAGGCTAATCATGGAAAGAAGAACTGCACACTATGCAATGGGAAGGAAGCCCATCTAACCGAAATTCAAATGATATAGCATTATTGAGATTGAAGTGTCGTATAGTTTTATGATTTCTTCCCCTCATGAAGAGCAATAGATATGCAGCACTTCTTCATCTCCAAGTCATAAACTTGTGATGAAATGACTAGACATGTAGAAGAAAAAGACATCCACCCGCTAAAACCAGATTTTATCAGCTGAAAGCAGGGAATGTGTACCATAGAACGGATAAATGGAATCTATTATTGCATGGAAAATGTTTGAAAGGCTTCAACCAGAGCTTGATTGATTAAATGGATTCTTGATCAAACTCAATTCAGACTACTTTGGCGAGTGTTTACAATGTCACTCTACGTATGCGCATGTGCATATACAAATATCTATCCATTATGTCTATCTATGGAATAAATCCAAGGTGAATTGATTCTCAGATAAATAATTCATCCAACTTGAACTGAACTCACATGTGGCGTCGATTGTATGACATTTCAATACAAGAGATAGACTCTTTCCATAGATATCCTTGCCAGAAACGGAATCCTGAATAATGGGAAGGCCACCGCTACAGCCTTCCAGACAAGGTAGTTTGAAATGGGCCCCTTTTTTCTACACTCGACTGGTCCGAAATGGAAAAGCTAGCACGTTAAGTATTGTAGAACTGAAGGATTCTTGACACAAAAAAATACAGCATTTAAAGAGAAAAACAAGGAAATTAACCCCATCTCCGCGTCGTCCTGAATCTTAGTTGAAGAGCGGAGAAAAAAACAGCGAGGGAGAAAGAAAATTTCGCGCGGAATGGGCACCTCAGAGGCTTACGTTGGGGTGAGAAATGAAGCAATCGACGACAGAGGCCAGCACCCGGGCAACCGGAAGCGCGTCGCCCGCATATCCTCCGATGGCCGCCCCCACTCCCGTCGGCACTATCATGACAGACGTGTAAGACCGCCGCCCAGGGAACTGCTCGGGAGAAGGAAAATTCAGAGACAACTTTCATAGGAAGTTAGGAGGGGAGAGGAAATCGGAAGATCCGGTCTCACCGCAGAACGGAGGGAACCAGAGGAACAAGTTACTCGCCGTTTAGAAGAAAGCAGCCATGGAGACGATGAAGGTTGAATTATGGGAAGCCCGAGAGAGAACCCATCCCCGAAGACTCGGGGAGCAGGGGGGAGCGGAGAGCTCCGAAGGAGCGCCATAGCGGGAAAGGACGAGAGGAAGGAAAGGGAGACGGTGGCGCGCCGAGTCTCTTTGGTTCTTCTCCTGGATTACGTTTTCTGGCGGCAAAGAGACCTCCCGAGAAGGTCTAGGAAAGGGAGACGGTAACCATCATAATGAAATATTATGGGTTTAAGTAATGGGCCGGGCCAGGTCTTTCCAAGCTCATTTAGGCCCGGGTTCGTCAGAAGAAACCGGAACCTAGCCACCCTTCTTTGTCTTCAATTATTTCCGACAGATAGATAGCGAGAGAGAGAGAGAGAGAGAGGAACCCATGTTGTTCACAGACAAGTGTGAAGTAGCCACGTGGCAAGAATAAAAGGGGTTACTGCTTGAGTCACTCCCTTGAAGCAGCTGAGGACCAACTTTATTCAAATTCTCTCTCTCTATCTCCTCTTTTCTCGCCCCATCTCTTCTCTCTCTCTCTTCTCTTATCTCTATCACTCTCTCTCCTCTCTTTCCTCTCTCTTCTCTCTCTATCTCTTTCTTCTCTCTTTAAAACTTTCTCTTCTCTCCTCTTTTTTCTCTCTCTTCTCTTCTTTCTCTCTCTCTCTCTCTCTTCTCTCTCTTCTCTCTCTATCTCTTTCTTCTCTCTTTAAAAATTTCTCTCCTCTTTTTTCTCTCCCTTCTCTTCTTTCTCTCTCTCTCTCTCTCTCTCTCTCTCTCTCTTCTCTCTTTTATTCTCTATCTCTCTCCCCTCTCTCTCTCTCTCTCTCTCTCTCAACCTCCGCATACAGAGCCGCATGCCTCAGACCAACACTTACTTTGCTGCCAGGAACCTACACAAGAATAACGTAATTTAATCCATACGCCAATGTATTGCACATCTATCTTCCCCACCACCCACCACACCTCTCCTATTGACTTACAATCATGCCCCTGGCTTTCTTCTTGTGGGTCCCCCAGTGTATGAAAGCGGGTTGATCTACATGTATAATCTCACATTGGCCCACTTAGTGTGAGCTTTGTAAAAATAGGGACCAAGAATAGGGGCAGATTAGCCATTTTATCCAACATCTTAGAGACCTTCATTTTTTAGGAGAGTCAACTTTGACCACGGACAACTAAATCCATTACATCCTTATAAAGATTGGGCCCTCGCCCACCTTCAACTCTCTAAGTAATCCACTACTCTTGGGATAATCGATGTAGAGTCCTAGTCAACCACAAAGTGTCACCTTTAGCAACAATATAATATCAAACTTTGAAATAATAAATAACGGGTTACATTACTTAGAATGATGGGTTTCTCAAGATTATGAAAATCATATGAAAATAATAATTGTGGTAATACCATAAATTTCGGGAATGCTTTTCCACAGCTCCATTCAAAGCTTGGTAACTTTGATAACCAACCACATGTGGGGGCCACCTTATGCTTGACGATTTCTATCACTAGGAAGTCAACTCTCAAAGTCAGTCTCTAGTTGATCACAATTTATGGGGCTCAATTGTAAATATTATTGTCTTTTTTTGGCTATATTATATGTACTAAACTTATAAATGATGTAGAAATTACATTGTTTTTACCTTGAAGAACTTTGATCACATAAACGCATCACCATCTCCACATTTAGACGTTCCAACTAATATTTTCTATAGAAATATTGACCCCTTTAATGTTGCTTTAACATCCCACAATGTAACTCAATTTTAGTTACGTTGAGTTCTTCTCTACATGATGAACAAGCGAGCCGGAGCCCTTCAACATGGAAACACCAACCGAGCATCACTTACTTGGCTTTGATTATGAAATAGTAGCCACACTTGTCCTACTTTTAGTAAATTAAACAACTAAAGTGTAACATTTAGACCATAACTTTGGTTGCATCTTCAGTAATGCACCCCTGAGAATAAACTACTATTTTTGGAGGTTATAATCCACTTATCCACTATTTTCTCATATTTATTGCACTAGAAATAATGGAGCCTGTTGTCCTTGAGATGATAAGAAGACACACTAAAAGCTTAGTTCCAGAAGATTGGAAATTAACTATAGAAATTTAAATTATATTTCAATGGGTAGGGTGCAAGGGATTACCAGCTCACTACTTCAGATTGAGATTGTGAGAAAGACGTATGTAGGCCCCCAGTGAACCTAACCTACTCTAGGTCCAAGAGAAAGGGGCCCATCAGTCCAGCCCACCACGACAATAGAAGACCAAAGAGCCCCAACCACAGCAGAAGAAGGAAAAATAAAGAGAGAAGGGCAAATGAGTCTTTGTAGTGTAAGGAGGTCAGGTTATTAGGGGCATAAAGGAGGTAAAGAGGGGTTGGTTATCTTCAGAGCCTACCTACATTTACTACTATTTATTTATTGACTTTTCCGCTTCTATTTCCATGTCTATGTGGATTGAATTCCTCAAGCATCAGGCAAAGGGAGTGAAGCCATGTGATCAGATGGGCAAACCCCATTTACTTATTCCCAGATGCTTTTCAAAATGGATAGCCAAATAATCAATTAGTATCAAAGTGTAAGCGAATTTTTTTCTTGTGAATGCACACAAAACTTCTATTTAAATTCGCATGAAAGATCCCAAAAAGGAAAAATTATATATATCAGCAGGTTAGGATAGTCAACAAGTACTAAAAATGTGTCTAACCTACTCATTCCCAGGTGACTTTGAATCAGCTCATGTAAGCTAAAGATTTTCTCTCCACTGCAAAGATAGAGCTATAGATGCTATTCCATAGGTAAGCTCTGAAATATTCAGCAGCATCATCAGTATGAGAGTCTGAGATGGTTCCAAAGAAAGAGGCGTCTGAAATGCCTGATTTGACAATCAAGTGACCAAAGAATATGATTTATTATCTATGATTATATGACCAGATATTTCCCCTTTTCTAGCTCTCCAAGGGACATCTCATGCCATCATGAATACATACAGATCATAGTAAACTTAGGATCCACAGCCAGGGATTTGCAATCAAATGAAAAGGATGCACCCCTGTGGCTCAGAAGACATACTTGTATATGGCTTGCGCCACTCCATCTTTATCGTTGCTGGATCCGATCACATTCGCCACGGACTTGGCCTTCTCGGATCCATTCTCGAGGGCGACACTGAATGAAGCCAGCTGAAGCATCTCAACATCGTTCTCTCCGTCGCCGATGGCCATGATCTGCTCAGGGAAAAAAAGGCAAACCATGCATCCATGAATTATCAAGGGGAAAAAAAAAAAAAAAAAAAAAAAAAAAGCGGCAGCTACCCCAGAAGAACAAACAGGAAGAAAGCCCAAGCCTAAAAGGATGAATGCCATAAGATTCATCGCATCGCATAGGGGCTACCCGTGTAAAGAATATCGTTAATCAGTTCATAAATGAAAATAAATGTTATTTGAATTCGAAAGATATCAGAAAATTGGTGGGTGATTATACCTCCTCGGCATTGATGTTAAGATGATCCAGCAACATTTTCACACCAGTCCCTTTTGAAGTTTGTGGAGGGACGATCTCGAGCATATCTTCCTGCGCCTGGACAACACCTGCCCGCCCTCTTGTGGCTTCTGACCAGTGTGGCCGCAAAATATTTGAGATCCCTTCGGGTGTGTCAAAAAACAGCAGTTTCTGAAAATACAGGGTTTTATTGTTACACAAAGAACTACTTTGGATCTCATCACAAAAATAGCATGGCGTCACCCCAGCGGTCGCAATTGCTTCCAGATTAGATGAACTGATTAACTGATTTCCACAACAATCGGACTAGAAAAATGTGCGCTCAAACCTGTATCTCGGCAATTGATAGAAGATGATCAATGGAAGTTACCACTTCCGCCTGCACAATTAATCAGATATTTTAATGGGCTGAGAGATTAAACCATTCAAAGAAAAAAAAGAAAAATATGATATGGAAATCATATTTCAGAAGTACCCTTGGTTCGTGATATACGGAATGCAGTGAGTCAACTAGAGGATCATTGAATGGTGTAAAACATCGATCCTGACTAAAAGCAACCAGTGGAATCTTACGCTCCAAGGAATATAGAAAGGCCTGCAGACAATGTTGAAGATAAAAATAATCTGGTCATCCCATTTATCTGTTTAATGCGAATAAACAAAAGAATCATTTATGTACTCTGCAAACGCAGCCAATCAAAGTGATGACTAAAACTGTCATGGACTCTCTTTCTTGGTTAACCAAAGGAAGAGAATCCGCGTTACAAAAAGATGGACTAAATTGGGGGGCATTTCTAAAAATTGTATGTATTACAAGAATCCAACCCATCCCCAACCTCAATGCCAAGAAAGTGACAAAAAGGGAACGGAAGAGGGAAATTCTCCAAACATTCAATGAAGGCAGATATCTGGATAGCATGTTAAACCTCTAGGTAAGCATTTCAAGACGAAGGGTGAAGGTTAGTTTACCTCTCGGCAAACATTGTCATCTAAGTTTCTTCTACTTATCTCTCGACCTTGTCTACCGTAAATAAGAAGGCCCTGAAATTCAAAATACGACATCAATAACCAACATTTTCAAATGTAAAAACGGAAAAAACAGTGCACGAAATTTGAAAAGAGCATCTAGAGAAAGAAAACACAGAATTAGTAATGCTAACTCATTTACGGCTGTTAATGGAACACAATGCTATATCATAAATACTTTGATTATATTGAAGTCCATGTCTGGTTTCAAAATTTCTGGGACAAAAGAACTCCAAAGAAACCCAAAACAAAACCACAAGCTTGATCTTCACCTAAAGAGACTGATCTGCCTGAACAATTTTGAATACTCAAAGGTTGTCTGAAAAGGATCTTATCCCTTTAAAATAGCAGAGGCATAACCCTAGCATGATAGAAGATTTCTTTCTTCATCAGCAAAATCCCAAATCCAGCCAAGGATCTCCATCTCCATAAGTATTCCTTTCACAATTTTTGTCTACTTCACTATACCAAGAAACTACCATTCACCATCAACTATTACTTTTTTTTCCTCAGTGAGCTCACAGACTAAATCTGCATTTCAAAGATCTGAAATATAAGGAGTTCTTCCGTTTCACACTCATTTAGATTTCTGGTAAATAATGAGCTCAATCATTAAACTGAATAATTGCTCATTGGCTATAAATGCAATACGAGAAACGTTTTATCTGTATCCAGTCGCACAATATGTGTCCATTTCTTCCCAAGATTCGAAAACCATTTAGTTTACAGGCGTTAATAAATGGCCAATTTTGACCTGTGAGGACTGCTGTTCTGCGTATTGCTAGGTCATTACTCAAAGAAAGCGATAATGACTATAACGCCCAAGTAGGTCAATGGTGTCCCACTGGCTGACCTGGGTATCTAGGAAGATTGCAGGGATTCAACAACACATCTGATGAGTTAAATGGGTCCATACACAACAGGCTATTAAGCTGTACTAAGGGGGTCTTGCTGAGGAAACAGTTCCCTGTCCATAGGGCGGTCATTAGTGAGAGGTCCATTAGCAGTGTGGAAGATATCTATTCACTCAACAGAACTACTGAGCTCAAGAACTTTGTTAATGGGGTCCCACAGGCAGAGTCAGGTATCCATGAGAACTGTAGTGGCGCCCAATTCATGATCTACGAGAGCTGCAGCAGCAATTCAAATTATACAAATGGAATGGTAAGGTCACCGAGGTGTATAATCACCAATGAGAACACGTTGGTAATGTTCTTAGATTGTCACCTTTCGAATGTCATCTAACAGGCAATGGATGGACAAGAGACAAGAAATCCATCACTCATTTCCTGCTGATCTTGAGGACCATGGCTTAGTCAATCTTTTTTAGTTCAAGATTTCCTGCTTGTTGTTTCCCACTAAAGCAAATTCACCCTTATGAATGTCAATTTCACACCCATGCTCTCAGTTTAATGGTGAAAGCCCTCAAAGAAATCTTTCAGGGGTTTAATCCCGTACCACTCACTTTCCCAGATGAGAAACAAAATATTTTAGATGAATAACAATCATGTCAAATCTTCAGTTCATCATCAGCATTTTCATAGCACATGAAGCATGAATTAAGCTGTCCAAACCGAAAATGCATGCATTATAGGAATAGCTTCACTAAAGCATCACAATTACAAGTGAAGAAATGTCAACGGACGAAAATAAAACTAATGACCATTGAATAAGCTAGAAGGCTCAAAACTAAACCAATAAGCACGAGTAAATCAAGAGTCAACAAAAATCTTCCACTATCAAATGCAAGGTGAATGTCTCGTCTAAAGGTTATATCAATTACAACACAAAGGCAGACGAGAAAAACCTGCAAGAAGATGCCAGGAGTGGACTCCGAACTGATCCCATTATTTCCAGCTAAATTAACCTTCTTCAAAACATTTATGACGGCTGGACGTGTCTGCACACACAGAAGGATCCCTTTAGCAGTTTTACTGAACTTGATTATGATGAAATGGTTCTTAACATCATGCTGGTGTCGAATGCATAAATTTAAGGAAGTGAGTTTTATAGTGATTCTGGATCTCACCAAGCACGCGAAAAATAGAAAATGACTGAGTGAAGGAGACATCAAACTCACCTTACCAGTCGCAATGATTATGTTCACCCCCCTTGACGATGCTTCTTTCAGAGCTTCTACATTACTTGAGGAGATCTGACTCTTACTATTGAGAAGGGTACCTTGTACAAAGTCAAATTTTACTAGCAGGTAAGCGACGTGACATAAAATCTAAAGGTTTTATGAAAAATACAACAGCTCACCATCCATATCACAAAAAATATAGCGGAATTTTGGCTTGGAGGGTCGCAGACTGCCATTCTTCTTCATATTCTCAACAAGTACATCTGAAAATAAAGTCTAACTGAAAATTCTTCTATGAACTTTACGCAAACATGGTCAAGGGATGACATAAAAAGATAAAATATTGAATAATCCGCGGGAAAAAATAAGAAAGAATTCACCCAGAATTTACCGTTCGGACTCTCAACCTTAGGGAATTCATCAGTAAGGCCGTCACTAGCACTCTTAATTAGTCCTTTTCCTCTCCATCCAAGATTCTTCAAAATAAGCTCCTCCTCCTTCTCCATTTCTTTTTCAGCCTCGTCACTGATTTCATGATCAAATCCCAAAAGGTGCAACAGACCATGAACCTAAACAATTAAATTATATTTTATTCTAGCAACCAAGTAATATTTCTGGTACACTTCTATCAGTTAATCATGGAACCTGGTACACTAGAAAAAGAAACAACACTGATAACCATTTGACATTAAAATGAACCTGGCGTGACAATGTGAGGTTGATGATTGTTATGACCATGACATATGAAGATTTAGACATCAACAATGAATGTAATTGGACGTTTTGGCTTTCCTTTATTGTACTTTTCTTTCTAGAGGATGGAGGTAAGTTGATGCTCTTGCATCAATCGCAGCTTCGGATATTGATGTTACAACAATACAAGAGGTAAAGTAACTTAAATGTAGAAATAAAATGGAAGTGGGAGCTAACAGGCTACAATTAAAGGTATAGTGACTATTAAGGTCCCGCAAGTGAACAAGAAAACCCAAGAAATAAAAGGATAACACACCACATAAATATAAGGTTATTTCTAGAGTTATATATTGAATTGCGTTTATCTACTCTGATGAAAAAAAGTAAAAGTAAATATTTCTGGACAAACCACAAGAATACGTATTTCATCAAGAAGTGTATGGCCTCTTTCTTCAGCTTGCCTTGCAGCAGTCTCAACCGAAATGACTAAATCACCTAGCATTAACTGTGAAAATAGTAAATTATAAAGATGTCAAAAAAATGAATGTGAATGACTTTATAACAACAGAAAGAAAAAGATAACAAACACGACCATGCCAAGCAACAATGACTCTAGCCAGAGACTTACAATGGGGAGATCAAGTTCAGGAATGTGCTGTGACATTGAGAGCACATCAGTAGCTTTGTCCTCATCTCTCCATTCCTTGTTCAGTTTCTGGATGAAATCATCATTGCATAGTAATACTGACGCTTCAATCTTCTCAAACCTTCCAAGATCGTCAATGGAAGTATCCCGCGTTTTATAGTCCGAATCAAGGAGTCCAAATGCAACCTTCATTGCCATGGCAACATTAAGCCTTAGCATTTCTGCAATACTCTGCATGATTAAAGAGAAGAGGAACACATAAGTCTCTAGAAAATGTAGACATACACAAATTTCAAAAGAATAAAAGTTTTCTTTCTTCCTCAATTTTGCTCTTTCGTGAGAAAGAGCATTTAACTTCTGGAAAGTTGGGTAAAGACGGAGTGCGTACAATCTGCATCTGCCCTATTCATTTTAAAAAGAGGTGGCCTAAGGATCAACTGTTGCAACGAGTCTAAACTTGGTTCTCAAGTAGTCAAGACCCAAAAGAAAGGTAACTGGAAGTTAAATCATTTTTAAAATAAGCATTCATGCAAAAACCCAAAAAGGCAACATTTCGCATCGATGCCAATATTTCCAATTTCCAACAAAATATCGCCCTTTGTGGTAGGTGGGTGAGATAACTAAAGATTATAACCGGACCTAATATTGCTTGCCATCCGTTTACAGTGTTGTTTCCCATAGCAATGGGCATAATAAAAGTCAACGATCAGTCCACAGGTCTAATAGTAATAGGGTTGAAACTCTCAAAAAAAATTAGGGGCTGAAACGACTTAAAAATTTAGAGAAATTTTGGAAATAATCTCATTTTAAGGAATGAAATTAATTTTTATGTTCTAAAGGCCAAAGATATGCTTTTAAATACTATTCCAGACATATTCGATAAGCATTTTTGCATAAGTAATTGAGTACACTACACCAGTTCGTTATTTTTCACCTCCAATTGATTTGTGGCTCATCTCAAAAAGCATTGCTATTTCCTAGCGGAATTCGTTGATCCATGATGTGTTCAGTTTTCGTATGGCCTGGCAACCAACAATGAAACAATTGGGGACTAATCCCAGGATTAATTCGAGTCATAAAAAGCCTCAGATTTTCAGTAACTGTACAACTTGGTCTTTCCTAATAGGTCTTCCCTGCATTGTGGACGCAATTAAGATAATTTGCTTTCAACCAATGAAGACAGATCCAACTTTGCTAGCTTTACACTCTATACTCCTCCGATTTCAGTAACAGACAATCACCGCGAATTAAAAGAGGAGAACAAAAAATGCACTTCGTAGGATATATCCTCCCTCAAACCAAGGAACAAAACGTACGTTTGCATTTAATAAAGGTGCTATTTTACAGCAAATAAGGAGAATCGAATGTTGGCTTGCACCAAACGCAGTTCCATATGCTAACCTATACATGGTTCAACGAGTTAACCCAAGTTAGTTCAATTTCGGTAAACTTGGGGACGACGTTCAATCAGTTTATTCGGACTCAGACTGAAGCAACTGTAGAGCCCATGAGATTGATTTGAATGCAAATTTGTAACTTCTTTACTCTAGAGCTTATGATTATTCAACGGAAGGATACATAGATTGCAGCATGCGAACTTGGATATACCAAGACAAATACATTCGGACCTATACGCCTTTGAAATGGAACTGTTTATGATAGGACCATTTTCAGATCCATTGGTTTTAGATGGAAACTTTTTCATTTCAGATGACCCCACAAGGAAAATGGACCAAACCAAACCAACCCTCCAAGACTGCACTCTAAGTTTCTAGCATGTCCTGGAGTAGAAGTCAATACCATCGGACAGAATCATTAAATATCAGTTTGGCACAGGGATGGAGAACTAAATTTGCTAAGGCGTCTCCAGACAGAGATCATCGTGATCCATTCTCATACTAGTTTCGACATTTTCACCCGTAATTTTCTGATTGGTTTATTTTCAGAGTACTGTCTGCATGAAGCTAGCAAGTATAACGTTGGCTTTCCTATCAGACATTTGATTTTTGCAGTTGTAACTTTCGTTTCGTCTCTAAGCTTAATGATTGGATACCATGGAACACGCAAAAACTCGTCGTTTGCATTCATCACAGGCAAACTGCGCAGGGCAGCTTTTCTCCAAGGCATTTGGAGGAACACTCGATTTATAACAGAATCCTTGATTTTGATGACCAAACAGCAGTTGAATTAAATCAACACGGCTTCGTCTTCCTAATGTGACGGTAAGCACCCGACTCTGCGTAATGATATAGTTTAAGAAAAAAAAATGTAAAAGCGCACATTAAAGAAAAACAGAAAGAAATGATAAGAAGTAGATGAAATTACAAGAACTTCGGGGTCATCTGGAAGCTCCTCCTCGATGCAGACATTGACGACGAGCTCCAGCTCCTTCTCCCTGAGCGCCGCCTGCTTCCTCCCCCCAGGCCTGCTGCGCCTCGACTTCCTTGACTGCCTCAGCGACGCCACAAACCCGCGAACCGGAGAGATTGACCCCGGCGCCGCCCCATTGAGCCTCCACCTCAGTGCAGCAGCGTGGAACTCCCGGTCGACGAATCCAGGGGGGGAGAGAAGCACTGGAGAGGCCATCACCAGCGGCCGGCGCCCCCACGGCGAACGGGAGACGAGGGTGACGGTCCGCGCCACCACCACCCTTGCCATCGCCACCGAAGGAGAGAGGAAGGCCGCAGAGAGAAGGAGCTCGACCCCAAGGAAAATAGAAGGAAGACATCAACCAGATGGGAAGGTCGTTTCGTAACGGCTCTGGCCGGCGATCCCGGTTCAGTTTTGAACCCGGTCCGACCTGATCTTCTTGGACCGGACCGTTGACCCTTTCAGAGCTCCTCAAACCACACAAGCAGGATCTTCTTGGTCGGAGGATACTTTGTCTATGGAAAATAAAACCTGTATAAATAAAATACTGAAAGTAAATTTATTTTTAATGGTATTTCATAATTATCAATGCCCATATTAATTTTTAATAAATAACATTGTTAATTTCCATATATTATTTTTTGAAAATAAAAACATGTATAAATATTTATCATTTCCAAAACCCCTCAATATTTTCTAAGGGGAAAATATTTCATACCCATCTTACTTTGGCGTTGACCTGCTCTCCAATGAACAGGCTTCCCCTTTTTTTTTTCACTAGCGATGAGATAAAGAGAAAATGAGGTGGTATAAATAAAATACTGCGATTAAATTACAGTTTAATGTTAAGCCATAATTACTAATGTTCATATTAATTTTCAGTAAATACAATCATATTATTTCCATTGACTATCTATGCAAAATAAAACCTGTCTTAATATTTATCATTTTTCAAACCCCTCATTTTTTTCTCCAAATATGAAATAATTCACATCAATCTCACTTGTGCGTTGAAAATGCGATGAGATAATTAAAAACTATCAGTTTTATCATAGTTACGTTTTATTCAAATAATATGAAAAATTGAAGTTTAATGATGCGTCATAATGATTATTTCCATATTAATTTTGAAGTAGATACCATCATATAATTTCCAAATACATTTTTTTCATAAATTAATTTCCCTTAAATGATAAAAAAATCAAATCATTGATAAATTATATGATGAGTAGATTGGGCATTGATAAATGCCTCATCCACCGAACGAACTACTTATAAATAACATACCGCTGCGATTCTGACCGACACAGAGAAATCCAATCCCTCAAGAGCTTCTGAACGAGACCTGGTCAACGTTCGAGCATGGGCTGGGAGAGATGCCGGGCTAGAAGGTGAGATCAAGCAGAAGCCCCCCTCCCCCCCCGCCCCCCGGGCCAGTTTATTACAAAACCCGTTGATTTATTCCAGCGCCGGAAAGTCAACCCTCTGTAGCTGGGTCAGATGTGAGGGAAGGAGGCTTCGTGAATGAAGCATATGCTCATCATGCTCCATACTTAGGCGCCTTCCAGAGCTTGAATGCCAGCTCATGCAGAAATCGATCGGCGAGTATAGCAAGATTTCCTCCACGCTGGAAAATATAAAAAAAGTACCATATCAGAGGTATGTATGAGAACGATTTATCAAATAATAATAATAATAATAATAATTCCACACGTGCATACACCCACTTTCTCTCTCTCCCTCTCTCTCCCTCCTCTCATCCGAGGAGGGATGAAGGTCAACAGTTCTAATGAAGGGTGAGACCATAGCCAGGGTTCTTGTTCGGCTAAATTTTCATTTACAGCCTTCATCAGTCCTCCAACTTGTTAAAAGCCCTTGGATTTTTTGAAAAGATGACAGCAAACGGAAGAAAATTCTTCTTCTACGAACCTAGCATCCTTTCAGAAGAGAGGAGAGGAGAGGGGAATTATTTGCCAAAGTCAATGCATAAAGCACGCACGAGAATCAACTCCTGAAGAGAAAGCTTAATGCCAACTAAATTCAGCCAATGACACAGGACCTCTGACCACTATTTCTGACTCTTTTCTGAAGTTTCAACTATTTCAGAAGCGTTGACTTTCTCAAGGAGCCATGGTCATGCTGCCACCGTCCTCTCACTCTCACTTCGGTTCCATCTTTCCTCTCAATGCACAATAACTTGGCAAATTAGCATATTTCACGGAGAACACCAAGATTCAGCACCAAGATCAGCATCAGATTCAAGGGATTACTGACTACAATCAGGTTGCATCGCAGATAAATATCACAGAAACTGTATCAGAGCATGGAAGAAGGGAGAAGATTAGGCTTGCCTCCTGGAATTCCTCAAAGGAGAACTCCTCGGCTGAGTCCCTGCGGGTGACCCCCTCCTGCCATTGAGCTACGAGCATGGGATGGTGGTGCCTGATGATGAACACGAAGCTGGTGATTCAGACAACAAATTCCAGCTCCTCCTACACCTGCAAATGACGGGATATGGTCGTCGTGTCACCATACCTTATGTTGTCCAGGCGCTTGCCACCTTTCATGCAGTAACTCTGGCAGGGGCGAAGCAGAGAAAGATCAGAGTCGTTCCTCGTGGGAGAAATTAGGGCAGAAGGGTTCTTCCCCTCATCCTCTGCAACGTCCCCAAAGGTCAACACCACAGAGAAGTGGAGGCGAGCGGCGACTTCTGATCCGGGCTGAGCTGCCCTCAGCAAGGTGCTGACCAGCCCGTCGAGCCAGTCAACCCCAGCATTGATGGCCACCTTGTCCTTCAGGGCTCTCAGCTCCTGGCCAGCCCTGATGTGAAGAACCACCAGGTCAACGTCACTCTTCTCTGAGACCTTCCCCCCAGAAAGCCCGAGAAGGGAGAGGAGCTCAGAGGCCATGGACGACTCCACCGGGAGGGCCTCCTTCTTGACCAGCTCGTCGATTTCAAGGAGCCTGAAGCCGAGCTTTCTTGCAAATGATCCCACGCTGGAGCCAGCAGTGAAGAGGGCAGCTCTCAGCCCCATAAACCTGGAGAAGAATCCAGCATCATCATCAAAAGATTAAATAATACGATGAAATTAAAAAAAATCAGTTTCGACTATGAATTCTGCTGCTGTGCCACCTATTCTGGATCTGCAGACTGGCATCTACCTCGCCAAGCTCTTCGTTCTGGATTTTGAGACCCAGCGTGAGTTTCTAGGGTAAGGTTTCTTCAGGTGGTGTAAGGAACCTGAGAAACATGGCTAATGGCCTTACCAGGGCATCAAGCGAGTCATAGGCATCAAGAAGCTGAGACAACTCTCTGATCTCCCGGCTGGGTTGACCTCCTGAGGATCGAACCCATGAGGCACAAGTCAGGGGTGGCGAATGCAATGAAAAAGTCAAACACTTTATGACGAACCGAAGACAAATCAAACCAAACCTCATCATGCGAGGTAAATTCATATGCGGCCATGAACTAACTGTAAGAGCAGGGTTTCAGAGTGGTTCCAACAGTTTGGAGGTGTTCATCCACCGGAGAAATGCGAGCGAAATCGGGAAATAAGCGGAGATTATCAAAGATCGTCGACGAGATCAAACAAAAGAAACAAGGAGGAGTGGATTATGCTGCAGGAATTTAGAATCGATCATGCTGAACATATGCGTAAAATCACTTGCGGAGAAGGTGGATTATCCCATGGAGGAGGAAGAACAAGAAGAAGAAGAAGATTGGAGATCTTTCCGGCCGATGAACGTCGGGGTTGAAGCTATGGAGTACCGAGTCAGAGGGATCACAGAGAGGAGGAAAGAGAAGACCTGAGGCCGAAGGCGGAGCGGGTGCGGAAGCCCGGAGGGCGAGGAAGCCGCAGGCCCCCATGGATGCCAGGGAATGGAGACCGGCGTGCGACTGATTCAGCAGCGGCGCAAACCCGTCCCCGTATATCACCAGCGCCCTGCTCGGCTTGTCCGCCATCCCCACCTCCCTCCCTTCTCTTCTCCCCCCCTCCCTTCTCTCCTCAGGATTCCGACCCTGCGTCGATGGGCCTTGAGGATGGTTTTGAGGAAGCTGGTCTACGAGATGGGCCTTCTTCAATCGTCAAGATGCTGCCGTGCACTACAGAAAATCAGAGAGAGAGAGAGAGAGAGAGAGGGATTGCGAGCAAGGTGGGCTTGACCGGCAATTTCGCATATTCTCACGCCAATAAGCACTCAATGGGCTAATCTTCTTCAGATTAGGCATTTCTTCCGTTGACTCCACGTCCCTGTGCCGTTCTTCAGCAAAGTCCCCATCTTGAACCAAACATTTAAAAGGGTTCTACCGGAGGAACATCGTGTTAGACTTCTGGCCATGGGCGTTGACCATTGGCTCCCCATTTTGTATATGATATTATTATCTTCTTTTACCTAAGTTATATGGGCTTAGTTTATTAATTTATTTTAATAATCCCAGTTTAACCTGGAAAAATCCCGATAAAATCTAGTATTCTACTTGTGGCATCTACATAAGAAACCAATACATAGCCACTTATCATATGGTTGAATAAATGAATGAATGAATGAATGATTGACCACATCCTCCTCGTGACTCGGGGTGTTGACTTGATTTTAGTGAGATGCCACAATAGTTGACTATAATAGTAGAGCTATGTCTCATATGCCTCAATCTCTAAGAGAGGAGTGCTGCAACATGAAGATGAAGGCATTTGGGCTCTTTCCTATTAGCTTCAGGTGTTGACTTCAGTAAGAGACCACTATTGAGCTCACCATATTGTTGAAGTTGACTTCAAGAGTTTGAAATAGTCAATAAAGAGTTAATGTGTGATGTGTCTCGATCTCTAAGAGAGGAGTGCTGCAACATGAAGAGCAAGGCATTTGGGCTCTTCCCTATTAGCTTCAGGCGTTAACCAAAATGTTATTATTTCTCTCTCTTTCTCTCTCTCTCTACCTATATATATATACACACCCATTTATCTCAAGTAATAAGCCCATGGATCGAAGGCGGCCCCAAGGGGTGGGGGAAGTATAGTTGTGAAGGAATGAATTCCGCAGGTCCATTATACCGCTGTGGGTTGGAGATTATCATCCAAACCCTAGCCTCACCACGTACCTATAAAAGCCTCCTCCCTTACCTCCGCCGCTCTCGCAGAGAGCTTAGCGCGCCGCCAGGACAACAGCGCCTGCCTGCGTGGAGGAGAGGAGGACGAAAACAAGAGGAAGAAGCGGAGGCCATGGCAGAAGTTCTCGTGCTCAAGGGCGTGCTGAAGGGCCACACGGATGTGGTTACCGCCATCGCCACCCCGATTGACAACTCCGATATGATCGTATCCTCGTCGAGGGACAAGTCCGTCCTCGTCTGGCACCTTACCAAGGATTCGGCTCTCTCCGCAGAGGGAGGGGCGTCGACGAACTACGGCGTGCCCCGCCGTCGGCTGACGGGCCATTCTCACTTCGTCCAGGACGTTGTCCTCTCTTCCGACGGGCAGTTCGCTCTATCTGGTTCCTGGGACGGCGATCTCCGCCTTTGGGACCTCAACACCGGCGCCACCACCCGCCGTTTTGTCGGCCACACCAAGGACGTCCTCTCCGTCGCTTTCTCTGTCGACAACCGGCAGATCGTCTCCGCCTCCCGTGACCGCACGATCAAGCTCTGGAACACCCTCGGGGAATGCAAGTACACCATTCAGGACGGAGAGAGCCACACCAACTGGGTCAGCTGCGTCCGCTTCAGCCCGAACACCTTCGTCCCCACCATCGTCTCTGGCTCCTGGGACCGGACCGTTAAGGTCTGGAACCTCAGTAACTGCAAGCTTAGGTACACCCTCACCGGTCACGGCGGGTACGTCAACACCGTTGCCGTCAGCCCGGACGGATCTCTTTGCGCGAGCGGCGGCAAGGACGGTGTCACGCTCCTCTGGGACCTGGCAGAGGGGAAACGGCTGTACTCGCTTGACGCCGGTTCCATCATCCACTCCCTATGCTTCAGCCCCAACAGGTACTGGCTCTGCGCCGCGACCCAGGACAGCATCAAGATCTGGGACCTCGAGAGCAAAGTCATAGTGCAGGATCTCAAACCCGAGGTGACCACCGGAAAGAATCAGGTACTTGAATCCAACTATCAAATTCTCATCAATCGTTCTATTGAAGTCTATATAACACACATTATCCGATGCGCTATAAATCATCAGTCACTTGATGGTTCTTATTTTGTGGTAGTATGATGCGCGAATCGGTATCTCTAACCTCCATGTCGGATTTTTTATTTTTTTATTGCAAGTTTAATGAGTTCATTGACATGATTATCGTGGAATGAAAAAATGATCCTTCTTTGGACCAACACTAGTGAAAGCTCTGTTGGTCCCAGCTTGTGGACCTGCTTTACTGATAGTTGAGATTCCTTTCGTAGATTATGCTCTCTCGACTGGGTAGCTTTTTCCAGTTGAACTAATTAGAATCTTTCCGTGGGAGATGATTGACTAACTGCTGGTGTATGTTTAAGGGACTTTCTGTCTTCTCCTATAGTTAGGCTTTAGTATCTGAGTGTATGCGACGTATCTGATGTGGATTCCTTAACTTCGTCCTGTGCGAAGTTGATTTATGTATTGATATTGAAAGGCGCGTCTGGGTTATATTAATAAAAATGTATCAATAAGGGGATTATTCTTGTACATACCCCGATCATATATGTGGTCGTCTTTTCCTTTATCATCCAATGATGAATGCAAGTTAAGCTTTCTTTGGGTCGTACACAGATAAATATAAATGTTTTTTTGGGATCATTTGTTAGCGTTGGGGAACAATTCTCCTCTAGGTTCCCTTCCATTATTGTTGGTGCATTTCTTGAAATATCAGAATGTAATGCTATTCAGGATTACGAAGATTAATGACTCTACTTCGTTTGTGAATATTTATTATCAATATTTTGATACTGTTATGAATCTTACAATGCACGTCTTTCATCCGCTCATAATTTTTCCTGGGATGTATCTTCAGCTGCTTTTATCTAGGAAATTTCATTGTTTTCCCTTGGAAATTTCATGTATAATCATTTCTTCCAGACTGATTTTCATTTTGTCCCTGGAATAGGAATTGTAGAGATCCTCAACTCTCTGATCTATCCCCCGATGACAAGATAACCGTATTTGTGCCCCGCATCATAAATGGGCATTTTAACCCTTACCTCTGAATGCTCTTTGATCTCAGCTTACATCCAATTGGAATTTTCCCACATTAACGGGTCAAAGTGGGTGTTTCTCAAGATTATGAATATTCCTCTGTTACTGATTGAAGCTTTCTTAGTGCACTCACTCTGAGTGTCCTGTAATTTTTTTCGTCTGTGCCGCACATCACCATATGGGTCTCTCCCTTCCACAATGGGCGTTTCCTCCTTCCTACTCTCAACCCCTGAATGAGCTTCGATAAATTAGATTGCTCCCAGATTAATGGTTCGAACTGGGTTTCCTCAACATTATGATGAATATTGATTGCGCTTGGTTGAAGTGGGTTTTGTGAAGATCATTAATTCACATGAACATATCTGTGGGTTTGCAGTGGGTTCTGTCAATGTTTTGAATTCGCATCAATCAGAGAGCAGATTTCCGAATGTACCCAAGATTTTGCCTGACATATGTGACCATTATCATAGCCCCTTCTTGCCTAATTGGTTAATTAAATTGGTTTCTGAGTGGGCTCTGTCAATTTAACAGATTTTAGATGTCCGAGTGTACCTATGATTTTTTTTGCCTACCACATTTAATGAACATCACAGCCACATTTTTCTGACTTGGTTAATTGGTGATCTCCACAGCTGCTGTACTGCACCAGCTTGAGTTGGAGCTCCGATGGCAGCACCCTCTTCACCGGATACACAGATGGGGTTATCAGGGTCTGGGGAATCAGTCGCGCCTACTAATTAGGAGTTGCCTCAGCCGCCTTTCTTTTTGTCTAGACGTTGTGGTGGAGTCCTCTTAAAGAACCTCTAGTGGTTTTCAAATTTACGGAAGTCAACGAGTCTTTGAGAATGTTTATTTATTTTTCTACCCATCAGATTTTGTCAATGTCTAATTTTTATGGGCATTATTCCTTTTTCCTCCCGATTTGAATGCCACCATTTACGGTGATTGGTGTCTCAAGTCAACCGGAAAGTTGCCAACTTTGTCCAAGTTGGTTGACTTTCTACTTGACCTCACAGGTTGCGGCGCGTTGGATTCACAGATAAATCCTGGGACGGAGAAGAATCGCCACTACTCCAAACACAGCCACATTTTTAGTTATTCATTATTTGTAAGTCTGTGGGAGAATATGATCAGTGCCACGTAATCACAATACTAACAATGAATGGGAATTTGGCTATTATTCATTTTTCTTTCGACATAATTCAGATGAATTAACATATATAAGATTTATTTAAGGATATTATTAAGGGGGAAATTCTAAAAAGGGTCAAATATAAGTAATATTTTAAATTGAATGGGTATTTTTAAATATAGGAAATATAAAACTGGAGTAATTTCGGGATAATGCGGTCGCCACGCGGGGGAGTTGCAGTCTTCCGACTCCCTCCCTGCTCGCGAGTGTTGGGGCGTGCTCGGAGATGGAGCTGGGTGGCCTCCGAATCCCCGCGACCCTTCTTCCCTCTGCGTCGGGGGAGAGGACGACCCTCTTCGCCTCGTGCCTCCGCTTCCGCCAGCGTCTCCTCTATGGAGCTCCCCATCGGCCCTCTTCTGGAGCTGGGAGGTGCAGAAACAAGGCCTTGCGAGGTGGGGTGGAGAGCGACCTGGATGGAATGGCGACGAGTGTCGGAGAAGAAGCGACGTCGTCTTCATCTTCTCCGTATACTTCTGCTTCTTTCCTGTCTCTGAGTGAGAAGCCCGACCGGAACCTCGCGCTGCTTGACGACTATGAAATGGAGGAGCTGGATGCTCCCGATGGCACTCACCGGAGCGGTACTGCCGCTTCTTGCTCCGTTGCTTCATCTCATAGCCTGATCTGATGCTTCGCAGTCTCTATCTAGAGTTCCCCAGACAAGAATTCTCGTTACTGCTGTGTTCCGTTTTGTACCCGGCACCTCTGACATCTTAATGCTCTCATGATCTCCGCCATGAGAGGAGGATGCCCGTTGATGAATTCACCGGAGAGTAAATGTGTTTTTTCTTCTATTCCCGATTTATTCGCTGGGAATTAGTATCCGTTACGACTTCCCCTCGATACCCTGCAACTCTGATTAATCGTTACTTACATATCTGTGCTCCTTGCCAAGCTATCTTACCTAATGTTCAATTTTAATTTGCCTGCTGAGCACTATTCTATCCATGGCTGCCCCGTCTCTCTTATTCCCTGGGCTAGTTGGAAGTAACGGCAGGATGCATAGGTTACTATCGAGTCTTCAACTGGAAGGAGAAAGTGTCCAGAAGAAGATGTGTGCATGAGATTGACAGGGCCTCGGCCTTGGTTGATTTTATTATGCTTCGCATTCCTTTTCGCTTGAACTATAGTATTCACCTTTAGATGCTCTTTGGTACTCTGCATTCTTCTTTTCCGATGCATTCGTTTTTCTATACTTTCCTTCTCGTGGGCTTTGACATTTCAATTGTAATCTCGGTAGAACTTTTTCAGTATTCCCGTCAGATCCTCTTGGGTATCACTATATATATCTTGCAAACAAGATATCGTGAGCATTTTGATGTTCATCATGTCGAAGGTTACTGACTTTATTCTTTGTACCACTTTGAGAAAGTTGATATAGGGCAACGTCTTCCAATGTAAATCGGGCAAATCAGCTGGTTTGATTGAATCGATTGTAATTATTTGGAGCAGAAATGTCTGATCACAGTAAAAGTTTTGATGCAAGCTTTTATTCAGTAAAAGAATTCAATGCTAATGACAGCAGTTGCCGGCACACTTTCACATTATTCTTCTCCCTGCATGTTCCAAGGTCCATCTCCCTGCAGCAATCATTTAGGCTGACTATCCATTTGCTGACTTCTTGAGCGCTTTGAGAACCACCCAAAGTTGAGCTACAAACATGGAAACCTTGAAAAAAATTCAACGATCTGCAATAAATCTGTGATCTAATAAGTGGAGAAAAGCTGAGTGAATGTCTATCGGTATTGATGTTGGTAGTCAAAGCAACATCGGATGGGAAGGTGAGGAGCATGAGGAACAGTCTATTAATGGGGAGCCAGAGGATCTGTTTTCACAGAGAAGATGCTCAGTGAAGGAGAAGATTCTGATGAAAGGATTCAAGTGATCTGAAGACATTGGAACAGCCTAGTAAAGGTGTAATTCCGGATCTGTGGTGGAGAAGAAGGATGGGAAGGCAGGAATATTGACCAGCCAACTCCCAACTTTCCACTGTGAGAGATGGAGATCGTGAAGATGCTGTAGATGACATCTCGCAAGGAAGAAACCTACACAATACCATTTTTATAGATCATCCCAATGTCCTGCTGCAAATCTCTTTTTCAGCAGATAAGAGTTTGGTTACGATGAATTTAGAGATAATATGGACAGATCGACGAGTAGAACCTCTTCCTAAACAATTCCTAATTGGATAAAGTTACTCCTGAATCATAATCTCCAGTCCTATGAAATTTCCTTTCGCTAAAGAAGTTATTATTGATGGAACTAGGAAAGTTTTGAAGCCCATTTGGATAAAATCTCCGGATGGAAATAAGTGTTATGAGAGCCTCTCTCTGGAGAGGGCCATGACATAGCAGCTTTCTGGTGTGATAGGTCATTGTTGGGGTGAATAAACTACTGGATTACTAACATAGTTACCTTAAATTTAATGTGCTTACTTTATTGCAATTAGTTAATTATTCATCAGCATCTCTGGATTGCTTTGGCGTTAGCAACATAGTTTCTGGTTGCACGTGTACCTCGGGGATTAATAGAGATTTCACCTTGCCTTAGAAAAAGCTTATCTTTGAGCAAATAGTTCTGGTTACACGTCTACCTCATACTACATATTGGGGAAGGTGTAGCTGTATGTCATCCAATTATCATTCTTGTAAATTCCATTGTAATATTTAGTGATGCCTTTTGTTTCAGAAAACTACAGCTATATGCCTGTTGTTTGGTTTTTACTAAGAGATTGAGCGTGGATGTTACACACAGGATATGTTGCTGTATTAGGCAAGCCAAACGTAGGAAAAAGCACACTGTCCAATCAAATGGTCGGCCAGAAGCTATCAATTGTTACAGACAAGCCTCAGACTACACGGCATCGAATACTTGGCATATGTTCTGCTCCAGAATACCAGGTAATGCCCTGCCTGGGGTGTTCTCAGAAAATCCTGAAATATCCATGTTAACTATTTGTTATTCTGGGCAGCCTATTACTTGTGGCTTCATTGAGAATGCCGCATAATCATTCATGTAAACTGTTGACTTGTTTTCAGATGATACTTTATGACACCCCTGGTGTCATTGAGAGGAAGATGCATAAGTTGGATTCAATGATGATGAAGAATGTCCACAGCGCTGCAATAAATGCGGATTGTGTGCTGGTGGTTGTTGATGCTTGTAAGGAGCCTCAGAAGGTGTGCTTCTGGAACCCTATCTAGTGATAGATATAGTCTGCATGGAGAATGTTGTTTTCTAGTTAAAATCAAAAAGTCGGTTAGCTGTTTTGTTATTTTTGTGCTATTTCGTGTGTTCGCATTTTCTTTTTTGATTTCTTTCTTTTGTCACCAGATTGATGAAGTGTTTGACGGTGTAGCGAATCTCAAGGATAATCTTCCAGTTTTATTAGTATTGAATAAGAAAGACCTGATTAAACCTGGGGAGATTGCGAAAAGACTTGAGGTTGTCTTCCTGTCTACAATTCCTGTACACTCACATTTAGAGCCAATACTTTATTTTCTTTTCTGAAAATCATATTTTTATAGTGGTATGAGAAGTTCACTGATGTTGATGAAGTCATACCTGTAAGTGCCAAGTTCGGCAAGGGTATTGATGATGTCAAAGATTGGATTCTATCTAAACTGCCATTGGGACCTGCCTATTATCCAAAGGTGTGTATTTCTATCAGAAATATATATATATATATATTGTGTATGTGATTCTTTATGCTGTTCATATAACAATGCTCAATTTATCATTCTTACACTCTATGACTTCCCCCGTCCTCAGTGTGGCATTTGCATTGTTCAGAACTGTGGAACTGTATCAATCCGGTCTATTGAAAGAATCTCTTGCGCCCATCGTGACTGATAATTGTTCCAATGACATAAACTATGGTAAAGAGTTTATTTTTCTACTATTAGAGGTAGGGCAGAATTTGAAAGTAGAGGGCATGAATGCCGTTATTATACCAAGATTAGAAGGCTCGACTACAATAGAGCTAATTTTGCCATAAATATATCCCCATGTGTAGCTTAATTTATGCTGTGTGATGTGCTTTCCCGTGACCATTTTGACTATTCGGAAGCATGTCTAACTTCTTTGGCTTAGAGTTCACTTCTTCTCCAAATGATGGCCTGTGTGAACTTTAGTAAGTTTGCGCACAAATAGGATCCAATTATGACCAGTCGACCACAAGAGTGTACTTATTGACTATATGTTTGTGCAAAATACGCAAATCAAGCATGCTATTTATGGTAAAATAACGCTATATATTCTCACTTATAGTGAAGAGTAAATCAGTTCGGCTCTACAGTTTTTTGTATGCATGTTCACATAGATCGTACATATGACTAACGGGAAAATCTCCACTAGATTATCAAGTACAAGCAATCCTTTCACCTGTTTGAGCAACTGATTTACATGGTTTTCTCTGTATGGATAACAAATCATTCTACTTTGTCTCACATCATGGCTCAGAAATTGGAAAAAATGCAGCTAGATTATATAAACTCTCTCCAATTCTGATGTCCATCAGTCTCTAACCCGAAATCTCTCATAGATTCTAATTTTTTTCCTAAATATATTTTTTCTAAGTATAATAAATTCATCTTGCACCAAGCTGCAATGAGTTAAAAAAAAAAAGTTTAAGTAAACTTCATGCCTGGAGCACCCACCCTTCTGGAAAAAAATTGTAAACGGCGAGTTGAATTTATTTTATGGATGCGTGGTGCCTTCCACTGGGTTTTCAGGATATCACCAGCGAGCATCCTGAGAGATTTTTTGTGGCTGAAATCGTTAGAGAGAAGATATTCATGCAGTACAGAAACGAAGTGCCATATGCATGCCAGGTACTTGTACGATAGGAATCTCCTTCCAAGGTTATTCATAATATTTTCTCTCTTCTCTCTTACAAGCATTCCTCCAATGGGAATATAATTTAAGAATATTTTGCCTGCAGGTTAATGTCGTCAACTACATCAGCAGGCCTACCTCAAAGGATTATGTGGTGGTTGAGATTGTTGTAGAGAAGAATTCACAGAAGATCATTCTCATTGGCAAAGTATGCTTATATTTTTTAAAACCTGGGCCCTTGTTCTTGTAGTTCTTAGCCACCACTTCATGGTTACTTATAGGTTTCTCTGGATCATACAACTTCAGGACATTGAGATTTCTCTCTAGTTTCTTTTCTTCCTTGTTAAACTTCAGACACTGGTTATATATATAGTGTAATGTTAGTGATGCAACAAACCCAAACCCTTCTTTTGATTCTATGATCCACTCTTTAATAATCATAGGTGGGTTGGCCCTCAGATTTCGTCTCAATGAACAAGAAAAACTCTTTTCTTTCTTCTGCATCATTTTTATTTGCTATATTTTGATTCTAGGGACTCATTGACCACAGTCTATGATGATATTATTTGTTGCTTTTTCAGGAAGGAAAGGCCCTCAAGCTCTTGGCGACTGCTGCAAGGCTTGATATTGAGGATTTCCTGCAGAAGAAGGTCTTCCTCGAGGTTCATGCTTAGACTCTCTGCCAAATCTGTACAACTCTCGGACATGTCTTTTCGTCAAAATCTCCGTTGACTTTGTTAACTACTCTTTGATGCACCAGGTGGAGGTGAAGGTGAAGGCAAATTGGCGGCAGGATGAGGGCCTTTTGAAACGCTATGGTTACGGTGGCCAAATCCAAGTTCGGTGATGAGATTTCCAGGTGTAGAGGGATGCATACTTTTTGCTTAAGCTTTCAGTCCAATTCTCCGAGTAATTCCATTTCTTTTCTACTCAGTTTTGAAGTCAACTCAACTTGGTGACCACCCTCTCCCATGCCCTGCCCGCCCTCCCCTCCTTGGAGAGGAAAATGAAAGGGGGACAAGGAAAAATCAGACCCTGAAACAAACTAGAAGATAGAACAAGAAATCCTACAGAAGCCAATACCTGACAGAGAGATTCAGATGGACAACTCACATGTGTTGAGCTCTAGTTTTCATCATAGAGTCAATTTAAGGTTTCTTTCCCATGATTTGGGTCAATGGGTAATCGAATCTTTTCCCAAGGCTTTAATTTTTTCTACTCTTGTGCATGCTTTGCAGTGCCTAATTGCCAAATTTGGTCTTGTTTTTGTACAAGCTTTATATTTACCTACGAAGACCCCCCAGGATATCATGGCTGGAGAAGGATAATGTAGTCCATTCCACCTTCATTTGGTAGAGGTCCACCTTCATTTGCATTTAAATCTCATAGTAGAACTTGACTTCAGCAGCAGGTTCCTCTCGTGAGGTGAAATTAGAGATTCCCTCAATGAGTCCATTTTTATTTTTAGATTTTTAAATTAAGTTTGTTTCAACTATATTCTACCCATTTTGCGATACAGAGTTTGAGTCTTGAACTTTTGTCAAAATAATAATAAAATAAAATGAAACATAAATCTCTCACTTAAAAGAAGTTTAGTGTGGCCACATTTGCTTAAATTCAGCACACAAGTTTAGGATGCATGAGAGTAGAAATGACCTTCTATACCATGTGAAGTTAGTGTAATGATTTTCCAGATATTTCATTCTCCACAAGTTTAGGATACATCTAGATATTTCATTCTCCAATAAAATTCTAATCTAATATCATCAATTTCTTGATGTCAACTTTATATCTAAACACCATCCATAAAGTCGATTATTTTTTTTAATTGTTTATCTCAATGGTGGTTTATCATTGTTACTTGATAAGTCTTGACTGGTAAGTCAATATATGAATCTTCAGCCACAAATTCTCACCATTGATTTAATTGGTGAAAGTAAAACTACTTGTTAGAATAAGCTCATTGAGCCCACCAGGCCCATTTTAGACTTATTGTCTCTATGTCTCTATTCTTCTCTCATGATCTTCACTTCTCTTTCTCTCTCTCTTTCTTCCCTTCTTTTATATAACCTTATGTACTCTTATTCAATCATTAATTCTAGGGTTTTCTCTTCTTCTTATCAACATAGTATCAAAGTCTAAAGATGACCAAAATGAGCTTGAAGTGAAGAGTCACCTTGCTTGCAAGTAAGAAGTGACTCGAAGATCTCAACTGTGTGACTAATATTTGTCTGATTGACGTACATATTTTCTAATATTGTTCAGAGTTGTTGCACAGGGTGAATTTGAGCGAGAGGTTCAACAATACTTGGCTCAATACTCTGAAACATCTAGGTAAAGATGACTAAATCGAGTTGAGATAATGAAGCAAAGGATGGATCAGTGAGATTGAGCAAATCAGTCGACAAGTGGTGGAGAAGGTTATGAGATGTTAAGAAGTGCTCGAATCTAGAGGTACATGATGTATAATTATGTCCATTAAAGACATGTCGGTTGAGTGAGTTGTGCCATGATAGAGTATCATGGAGTAGCCGACTTGATCAAATGAAGGGTAACAATTGGTTGAAGAATTAATAGAGGAGTTGTATGAGACATTGAGGATTCACCCACTAGATCCATAGATTAGGATTAGTGGGAGATGAGATGATGTTGGAAGGGGATGTCCTTAGAGCATGGGGTGCTAGAGGCAATGTTTGTGACAAAATCTAGTTTGGATTCTTCAAAGCATTGAGCTGAATATTGTTGAGCCTTTTGCTTGGATTTGCTTTGCACAACAACTTTGGACAACATTGGAAAACATATATGCCAATCGGATGAATATCTATCACATGGTCAAGATCTTCGAGTTGCTTCTTGCTTGAGAGCAAGAAGACTATCTATTTTTGAAAAGAAAATGCCCTACTAACACTCATTTGTTATTAACATGGCAAGATTATAACTAGTAGTATAAATCAATCATATATTACTACACCACTTACCAACTCATCAATATAACTACTAGTAGAAATGATTACGAAGCCAACACTCTCTTGAGCAAACTACTAGTCATAATCACCATTTGTGTAAATCAGTTTGCTTTGCAATCTGAAGTAGATAAAACAAATGTGAAACTACCAAAGATGCATTGACAATTGAAAAATGCATATGTGGTAATTATTTCCAAAAATAACATAAATATAGAAAATAGAGTAAGGTTAATTAGTTGAATTGACTTGATAAACTTGGTAAAAAATAATACTTTACATAACATGTGGTAAAAACATTTATTTTTGTAAATTCACAAGTGACCATTCATTCACATTGAAACCCATAACAACATAAAAGCCAACCTTGACTTTAGTTTACATTATATTTAGGTTAATTTTATTTTATGTCTTACATCTAATTAGTTCAAAACATCCTCTATGTCAATAGAAGTCATTTTATTGACAACAACCTTCTCATCTTTTCATTTTATAATCTCTAATTTATTTTCTTCTATTCATGATTTATCTAGAGTTGACAAAACAATTAAAAACATGATATTAATTAGAGAAGGTGGATATTACATATTGGAGAGAAGATTATAGTACTTGTCTCATCTCATTTCACTGTCTTTTTTTTTTTAGTTAGTATTATTTTAGATTAACTAAAAGTTCAATAAAACTAGTTCTCACCATTCTTGAAGATCAACCTAAACTTATACTAATATTATAGCTTATTTAGAGAGTTCAATTATAAATATTGTTAAATTTGCATGCATTATGTAACCAATTGAAAGAATGTTTACAATTGGCTATGCATCAAGTCAATCACGAAATGCTTCCTTAGATTTTTCTAAGCATTAATCATTTATGAATGGGAAACATTCACAAGGAAACATTACATGAAATACATTAGCATAAGAAATACCAAAAAATTAAAATAAATTTCAGGATCGCAAGACCACTGACCCAAAGTATCTGCCTTGATCAAATTTTTGTTCCAGCAAAATTCACAGCCATATTTACCCACATGATATGTTCAAACTGTTATGAAACCCTGTGAGGAGAGTTTTATTTTCCATCAAGCCTCCTTGTCTAATTAACATAGAAACATATATTAAGTACTATAAAGAGAAATCACTATTAAATAAAATTGTCCAAGAATTATTAGAATTGACCAACTTTCCCACAAAACATCCCAAGAACTGAATTTGCATCTTTTCGTCAAATTAACCATCCATAAAGTTGACTATTTTATTTATCTTCATGGTTTATCATTATTATGAAACAAGTCCTGGCTCATAAGTTAATATATTCATCTAAAGTCATAGTTTCCTAGTAATATTTCAGAATATGATTGATTTCAATGGTGAAAATAAAACTACCCAAAAAGTAAATGTCCCACTAGTCCCATTTGTGCTCTCATGGGAAGATTATACCAAATAGTATAAACAATCATATTATGTATCTCGCAACTACAACATTCATCAAAGATTTTGCTCAATATAACCACAAGTAGAAATTATTTGGATGCCAATACTCATGAGCAACTAATAATTAGAATCACTAGTTTAATAAATCAATTTACAATGAAACACAAAGAGATAAAACAAACATTAAACGACCTTAGATAAAACAAACATTAAACGACCTTAGATGCATCAATAATTAGAAAATGCATATGTAATAATTATTACCAAAAGTGTGTATAAATACACAAACTTAGATTAGGTTAATTAATTGAATTGTCTTGATAAGGTTATATTAGTAGAACTAATACTTTACATGATATGTGGTGAAACTATTTATTTTTTAAATTCTGAAGTGACCAATCATTCATAATGAAACCCACATCAACATAAAACCCAACCTTGGTTTACACTTAACCTAATATTTTTTAATGAACAAAGGCAGATAGAAACTACAATAGCAAGATAAATGATGTACTTCAATAATTCTTATGCACATTTGAAATCATAAGATACTGATACAATCATCCTTGAAAGGATTGGATCTAAATAAAACTAAAGAGGAAATGCTTATATTGATATCACAAAATCTAGTCAATGATGTGGGATAGAATGTCAAGATAACAGTTCTATCGAGATACAAGAAAGAAGAGAGGAGTAAGAGTAAGGGGTGGGGAATTAATTCGAGTGGAGTCCCTTGCCTCTCCAACTTCTAATTCGTCTCCCCCCATACGACCCTCCTTGTGCAGTATTTATAGGCCTCATACGTGCTGTACATGTGACTCTTTATGCTTTCTATATGTCAATAATGGAATGGTATCATTACTCTCTCCTCCAAATTCACCTAGTACTCTAAGTCAATTTTTGGAAATTGGTGAAAAATATTTTGATTCAGTTCACATAAAGACTTATGATATGGTAGATTGGCATATTTTATTAGAACTTCTAGGTCTATAGGTGTCTTCCACAATCCTTTTTTTGTTTGATGGTTGATGTGCCATTCCATATATGTACTAAGTGAGGTGGAAGTAGCTAAAGCAAATTATTAGTTGATAAGGCCCATTGCAATTGAGATATATGAAATACTAGATGAATTGATGTTCAAGGTGGGAGATCAAGCTTGTATGTTGTTTGACCTACTTAAGTGAGGATCTTATATGATCCAAAAAATCTTGGAGAAAGTTTCTTGTTCACCTTACATGCTAGATATCTCATTTTGTATTAATTGAATGGACCACCTCATGCTCTAGCAATAATTAGACTGTACATGAGAAAATAGATGGAGATAACTCAATGAAATGAGATTCAATTGAGGAAATGACTGTGATGCTTGTGGTTTCATCTTGTATTTGTACTTTATGTAACTCAAGGAAGATTGGGGGCTGTCGCTTGATGATTTTCTCCAACATCTTCAA